TTAACATAAAAAAACAAAGCTAATTCACAGAAAAGAAAAACATGACATCGAGTTATCTACACTTGCTAGACAATGGATATCCCTGAGGCTCGTCTATAAATGATAATTTTCAAGAATGATGTCAGTGTCCAAAATAAACAAAACCAATCAAAACAGTCGCTATTTAATTGTTAATACGTTTCTTTCTTCTATAATAACTAATACTCTCCCCTCCCCCCCGCTCTCCATACATACAGAATAGTAGCCTACTGGGCTTCTAATTCGTTTTGCACGTCAAAAATTTTGGAATGGGTTGTAATTGAAATCACCATTTTTGTGTTGTAGCTATGATATGATTTGCTTACAAGCACAGAGATGTACAAGGTTTCGATAAATTTGGAGTTTTCAAGCTGTATGAGAACTATCATGACAGAAATATAATGCAAACCCTTTCCTACCAAAATAGAGCTTCTGATTTTCACAAAATAGATTGTTCAGATCTTAGAAATGTTTGAATAATAAATATCACACTCATGTTATACTAGCACTTGTTTTTTAGATCAATAAGCTCACGCATCATTTCAACCTATTATTGTTCATTTTTGTGAGATATTTAAATTTTCGGTTGAATATTTGTCCACTTGATAAAAATTTACATCTTTTAATTTCTAGACTATGTAAATGTCATAAGAGAAAGAAGAAACTAACAGTATGGTATAAAAGCAAAGCATACCTATTTTCTATTGCTTAGTTGCCTAAACAGCTGTCGATATGTAAAAAAATGAGATTAGATACACCGAAGAAGTTTCAACTAAACAGTGTATTTAGAAGATCATAATCTTGATAGAATTTTTAAAACAACAGTTGTGAAACACACAATTGAAATGCTCGGTTTAATCTAACACAGCTCTTCATTCATAGTTGATATATTGCAAAACTCTGCTGTTTCAATGCCACTAACAGTATGCACAAGATTTACACTCATATATGTTTGAATGAGACATTGATCCATAATTTGTCATGTATTTGACATCGTAGTTATGTTTGCGTCGGTAAGAAAAAACTAATCAATCATAAATAATTTGATGGCATAGGCAAAAAAAGATCTATGTGTTCTCCTAATATCAAAAGAAAACGTATCTTGGACGAACGCATTGCCTTTTTTTGCCAAATAGTATGATCAGTTCAGTGACGATGGGAAGATAGGAGAGTAGACAAACTTGGTATCTTTATTTTCTATTTGACTAATATAATACAAGAAAAGATGAAAATACGGATAATATATTTTTGACAGCAATGTATTTTACAATGGTTCGATTTGTTTTTCAATGGTGTTCCTGTTAATGTTTACATCAGTGGACATTCGAGGATCCGCTCATGTCTAGTTGATAGATATATTATATGAAATGATAAAGAGAGTGACGGAATAAGAAAAGAATTATTTTGATTTAAGAAATCTTCTGTTTATCGATATTGTCAATGTTGTGCTCGTGGACGACTTGCTTCATCATGTCCATCATGTTATTTTTGTGAATTATTCTATGGTTGTCCACTTTATTGTTGGATATTAACTTTTCTTCTTCTTCTTTTACCTATGCTTGCTCTTTTCGGATGGCTTCTTTCAGAACAACCAGGTATAATTACTTGAAAGTTTTTAGTCTTCTGTTAAAAAATATTGTTTTTTTCTTTATTTAATTTAGCCATTAATCCTGCTAAACGACAATATCTAACAGAACAATCTTCAATTGTTCAAAACGATGTTTATGCTGTGATGCATAATTGTGCAGTACCGTATTGTACTAATGCATCCCCTGCAACAACAATTAATCAATTATATCTTACTTATCATGATTATTCAGCAACACAAATAACATCCAATGGAAATGTATTTCAGACATTTTCATTAGTTTTTTTCGGATTTTTATATATTTTAATTAAACTATGTGAAATATAAAACTAGAAGTAACGAAAGTATAAAACAATACTAAAAGCTGCTAAAGTTTTATCTAATAGCAATAAATGAATAAAAATCATATATATAAATTCACGAACATATACATTCCAATAGATATGAATATGAAGAGTAGTGATCGAATATCGTTACAGAGAAATTAAACATTCAATAGGGATTTTTAATCCTTTCATAACTAGTATCAAAGAAAAATCACGAATAAGTCATGACAGCTGCGTTTGGTTGATATGACGGATA